ATGAAAAAATAATCAATTAATCAAATTTTTTTTGATTAAAATAAATTATTGTTGGGCTTTGGGCCGATATGAAATGTGTTTTGACATCCAATATCAAAATCTGGATAAGTCTCATAGAGATAAATCCAATATGTGGACTATTTGTGTGGTCTTGATTGGGAACCTAAGTACAGACCCAAATCAAGAGTAAATAAAGAATTTGTTTAGAATGTAAATATTGAAATGATTTGTTAAAATAAATCATGAGAATAATTGATATGAATTAAATGAGAAAACCTTTTATGAGAAAGGTCAAAAGTATTACAAATAATTATGAAAATTATATCGTTGGATAGAGTTTAACTGTACGATTGCAACGGTGCAAACAGATTTCAATTTGGAGAAAGTTGGACCAAAAAGTGTACCCCGACTGGAACCAAAATTGGTCCCAATCAGGGAATTGCGTATCAAATTTTGGAGATCGCCGCTGAATCCACTGAATCGATCGTGAGTCACAAATGACTCAGCAACAATTGGCTACTTCCTTCTCCAAATGCTATAAATGGGCACCCTCACTTATCTCAACTCTGCAGAAAACTTCCTGAAATTAGTACCATAAGAATCTAGAGAGTGAGGGGAGTAATTTGATAGTATTAATTGCCGTCGAGGTCGCCGGAGCAAGCCATGGTGTTCGCCGGATGTTTCATCGTCCAATCACCGGAATCATCGTTTAGCTCCGAGGTAAGCCCGTAGATATATCTAGTGACTAGAATGTTCGTATAGATCGTTTCTACGTTCATAAACGGTCGTTTGGTTGAGTTTTGTGTTTGACATGTTTGAAGAACCAAGAATCATAAACCATGAAATTGTTGTTAAAATTACGAATTAATGACTCTAAAATGATCTCTGAACATTGGAGAACATTTTTATAATAATAAATTGAAGTTTGGTGATTAAAAATGATAATGTTAAAAGTGACCCGAGGAAGAAGATGATGAACAGTGGCCGAAAATCGATTATTTACTTACTAAAAATCAATTAGAATTTTATTCAGATCAGTGGTTCGAAGTCAGTACCATTTAATCGATTATTTATACTGTAAAAATCGATTATTATGAATTAATGGATTATTTAAATTGTAAAAATCGATTTTTTATGAATTAATCAATTATTTATATTGGAAAAATCGATTATAATGAATTAATTGATTATTTAAATTGTAGAAATCGATTATAATGAATTAATTGATTATTTAAATTGTAAAAATCGATTATTATGAATTAATGGATTATATAAAATTATATAAATCAATTTTTATAAATTAATTGATTATTTTAAATTATTTTCCTCAATTCCAGATCGTGCTACGAAAATGTTCCTGAAAATATCCTCTAAAATACTATTTTTGATAACAATTAATTATGAACAATACAAATATGATTTTGTATAATAAAAATGATGTTTTAGGCATATAAAATATTATGTGATGCATGACGGTAAGTTAGAGTGTTAACACTCAAAACTAGACTGCTATTTGTTATCAATTGTTATGTTGATTAATGATTATGACGAATGATTATTATGGATGATCAAGAATGATGAACTAACTAATCAAAATGATTATTGATGATTGAGCCATGAGTATAATGAATATATTGATAATTATTAAACGATTTGTATTGTTAAGGATATCTAGAAGACTTTAAGATATACCTATTAGCTAATTGATGTTAAAACTATCTAGAAAACCTCTAGAATGGATCTTAGAACAGGTTTATGAAAACATGAACATTTGATGAATTAGATAAAACCGCATAAATGGGATTCATAGACCAAACTAGAGTATCACTCGTTTGGGAATGCCCGATCTAATGTTGATCAATTGCTATATATTTGTTGCCTTAACTGGCTACAGTTAAGTGTCCAAATCATTTTCCTTAAACTAGTGATAGTTTAAGTGTCTGATTGCCTTAACTGAATACAGTTAAGTGTCCGAAATCAATTGCCTTAAACTAATGATAGTTTAAGTGTCTGATTAATAATTGCCTTAAAAGAATCTGGTTATGGAAATTATGATTTGGCCTTAGACTAAGAATAGCTAAGAGCATTATTATGATCTGGCCTTAGACTAAGAATAGCTAAGAGCATTGTTATAATCTGGCCTTAGATT